CTACTACTACCACCACTACTTCTTCTTCTCAACAACAAGTACATCAAGCATCATCATGACACTTGTCCTTGACTACCATCACTACTGCTGCCATGTATTGCTTCTCCTTGCCACTCTCACTATGTTCTCCGTGTCTCCGTGGTGCCGCAGATCATTCTAGCCACAAGGAAGTGCCAAGCAAACCGGGTTGAATTCAGACCCTCAACCTGGGAAGCTTTCTAAACCAGGGATGCTTTCGAGCGGCCGGACATCATCGGATTTCTGCCCATATCGCAGACGAGCAGAGGAAGGCTCCCCTCAGTGGGACTTGCACTTCCTGCAGTAGCGCCACTAGCAGTCACTAGCACTGGTAGCTGTAGTGCGTGGCCAGACAATAACTGCAGGAATGCTCGCAATCGTAGTCTGAAAAATCAAAACATCAGCCATAGGTACATTTGATATGCAATGGCAATAGTTACAATCTCGAACCGAGAGTACTGCTACATCCCAGTCGTGTCACAATGGCAAATGCTGGCAGTCTGCTGGGTCTGTGCCGATGTCTAAAATGCTTGCAGGCGACGGCTGATGGAGCGAGGAGACTTGCGGACCACTCGCGCATAGTTTGCCTGAACATGGGCATCCATCATCCTAGTTGGGTTAAGGGATTACACTGTCTATCCTGCAACTCAATATGCAAGCCGCCTCCTTGCGCAGCATCTGCGTCAGCCGTGAGAGAGCCTTGCAACCGCTCACATGTCAGGCAGCCATCATTCTACAAGCCGGTGACAACCAGCAGGAAGAAAATTGTCGTCCAAGTGCGCATCTTTCGGGTCTGAACCAAATCATTGCGAAATTGGCTCTCCGCCAAAAAGAGCTTGAGACATCAAGGCGTGTGAAGGTGTCGCACATTCTCAAAGACAATTATCGAACGGCCGCGTTGGATAGCAGCACCGAACATGGCATGGGCTTCTTTGCTCAGAGCCGCGCGGATGCTTCCCCGCCTCCGTGGGATATGAGATCGTGGAGGGTCGTTACGGGGCTTGTGGTTGATGAGGTGCCGGATTTGGCGATTTGGCCATATCACTGTGCCATGCAAAAAAACTCGACGTGCGGCCCATGCGGCCACAGGTTCAACTCAAACTTTCGATGAAGCGTGCACGACCATCTCTCACGGTCCTTGCCTTTGCTGAGCCCATCGAACTGCTGATCGTAGCTGACATCGGGCGGCTCCACCACCTCTCTATGAGATTACATGAGCGCAGCATACCTCACTGCGTCCTTGCTGCCACCTTCACCATGTTGAGTTCTGCTTCTTGGGTACAACCTTGTGAAGCAGGAGTTACAAGCCGTCCCATACGACAGAGTCCGATAGAGCGCCCCGCCGCCCAAGTAAGGGTGTTGCCTTGCCGGGCGGAGTCGCATCACACTTTGAGAAGCTCAGGACTCAGAACGACTGGTTCGGCTGTCGGACACCCTGGTTGTGAACGAATGCTGAGGCCGCGTCAAGGCATTTTCCTAGGTACAAAGGAAGATCGACACCGGCCCAGGGCTGTAATTCGGCTAGACTTGCAGGGAATCATCCTCGGGCTTTCGTCCGTGAGACATCCTGAGCGAGACGACCCTGAGACCCTGACAACAGACAGCCGTCGCGAAGGGTCAAAGCATAACAGCTTGTGGAGAAAGTCCTCACCTGGGAGGTGCAAACATAACTGCCCGAATGTCGGTGCGCATGCTCATAGACTCACAAACGTCCCGACGATTAAGTCTTGCGCCCGTCTCTGCTGGAATGCCAGGCCTGAACAGTTCCATTGCCCCACAAGCCCCAACCACCTGCGCCTTAAACCCGAAGTTATCACACATTTACCAGTCATCGCGGTGCTGCTCCGGATCTTGGCAGCATAGTTTGCGCTTTGCTTAGCTCGGCAAATCATAGTGTACATAGTGCTGCCATTGCTATTCTACTACCACAGCTGCAGTGATTGGTGCTGTCGGCATGCTCATCGTCAGTACTGAATCTATTCTTCGAGTATTGCCGCGATGGCTCTCGCCAACTGATACTTGCAGTGTTTTCATATCTACCTGTTTTACAAATCCTGCGGCTTGCTGCGGCTATTGCGATTCGTTGTTGTAATATCTTCGGCGGCTACTCTTTCTCAAGGCGCTCTTGGCAGAGACTGCTGTTAGTGTTCCGACACTTAACGTTGCCGGCATTGTCATTTACAGATCGGGCGGTCTTTTAGGGCTGTGCGCCACTACGGAGGCCTTTTACTTCGATGGCTACTACTGCCTGTATTGGGTCTGCTGTTGATGAAACTCTTAGTAGCTATTTCCGCTGTTTCTGTGATGACGACAAGCATGAGGGCATGACCCTCAGACATTCATCCTCGAATTTCATGCCATTGTCGCTGCTATTGATGATACTGCGATGTCCCACCACCACAACCACCACCGCCACTGTCATGACCCACCACATCATCATGGCCGTAATCTCCATCAAAGCAAAAAATCCGCCCTGAAGTTCTGCACTCCCTTAACCCTGAACCTTGAGGCCCTAATTCCCCGGGAAGCGCCAGAGACTTCAAACAAAAAAGGGCCATGATTATTACATTGTAGTATACTATGTTACATTATATTTTTATCATGCTATGTTAGACTATGGTTTCTGTAGAGTCTTCTTTGCATTCATTCCGGGAGGCCGCGCCACTTCGCCGGGCCGAGTCCGCGAGGCCGTGCCGGAGACAGGGCTCGATGTAACAAGGGCCTGGACTCCTGGAGGGTCTGAGGAAGGCTCTAGGGGTTTAGGGCTTTGGGGGTTTGGGGGTTTAGGGTTTAGGGTGTAGGGGTTTAAGTTTAGGGTTTAGAGGTTTTGGGGAGGGGGGCTTTAGGGGATTAAGTCTGCGTGTGCATGGTGGATATGGCACCATCTCATGTAAGGTGCGGTCGTACATTCTGATAGGTTACATCATCATCACTCAGCATCTTGCCGCATACTGTATGGCCCGGACAGTCAAGAAGTCAAAGAAGGCACTGTGTCATGACAAGCTGAAAAAAATATGCAACTCTGCAGTCATCGGCGCCTTCGGAACCCACCACTGATCCCTGAGCAGCAGAGGGTGCGCCCTTCAATTCATGGAATTGCCGAACTGTCTCGGGGCGCTGTAGGATGCAGACTGCTCGGTCGGTGTCCCCAAAACGCCCATGACCTGCGAGCACCAAGCTCATAGGGAACCAACGACCTCCCAAGTCCCGACACCATCCGACACCATCCTTGCCTGTCCCAGCCGCCTGCTACGGCAAGCCTTCCAACCCTTCGCTGCCTTGGTCAACTGGTCCACGCTGTTCTTGCCAGGGAAGAGAGCCTGCGATGTCTGACGGCTTTGTGGTTTAGAGTCTCGAGCATTCGATAAACTGTGGACATCGGAAATCCCAAGCGATAACTTTGCAAGCACGCAGCCCGTGTTGGCCCACACCTTGGCCGTCCACATCTCGTAGAGAATGCAGCCAACGGACCAAACGTCAACTTTCGGCCTGGCAAAGCCCCGTGTAGTTGCCAACACGAGAACGTGCTTCAAACGTCATCAAAGTCGGGCTGCCCTGCTGCATGTGCTTGGGAGGGTTTGCCGCAATTAGGGCGTTGGGTCTGGCAGGGGCAGTAGAACCGCAGAGTGGATCCCCATCGAAGAGGATGCTACGGTTTGCACCCTGATCGCAATGCACTGGCCGGCTGGCCCATACTTGGATCTTGCCAGCAGCACTTCTGGCGCACGATACCTGTGAAGCTCTGCAGCGACAGCTGCATTTCAGTCGTCTTCTGACTTGCTCGGCAAGCAAAGCGAGACCTGCAATTACTGAGAACGGCCGACGTGGCAACCTCAAAGACGTCCCCATGCACACCAGCGGGTGACCACGTACTCGGTGAGGTGCTCTTCCAGAGGGTGCAGGGCCTGGAGGGACAACGCAAAGACAAGTCAAGCTGACTCCGTTCATGGCAGGCAAACACTTGCCCACCTCCCCCGAGAAGTCTACAGCGATTCCTCGGCTGAGGCCCAAATCTCCGATCTTCACCTGATGGATGGGCTGGGATTTGCTCGATTTCTGAACATGCGGGGACTTCGATTTTGGTGCAGACACAGGCTTTCGACGCCCGACTTGCACGCCCAAGACTGTTCGTGAGATCATGCATGCCACCGAGGATCAACCATCGCATCAGTTACATGACTGTCAAGAGAAACAGCACGAGCAGGACAACAAGCATCACCATGATCATCACTGCTACGTCTTGTTGATTCGAGCAGTATCCCTAGTACATACGAATACCTAGTAGAGTGGGGTATTTGATTATTCGTAGTCGTCTGATGCTCACAGCTTCGTTCCTGATTTTACACACGCCACAAGGCAGTCTCCTCTGCGGCACACTGCTTGACAACCGTGATACTGATAAAACCGATGACGATGATGATGAAGGTGGTCATGGTGATGATAATGAGGATGAGGATGAGGAGGATGATGAGGATGACGAGCATGATGAGGATGATGTTGTTGATGATCAGGAAGGCAGTGACGTGCAAGATAAGACGAGCAGCACTATCGGTTCACACAAAACACATTCTTAGCAGCAGCGCGGCAGTGACATATGTTGGTCCATTTGCATCTGCAACGCAGTTGTGATTCAATTCTTCTTACTATAATAACCCGCTCTGATCGGTTGAGGATTCTGGAAACTATGAGTGCCTTCGTGACGACTACTGGAGCTCGTATCTGCTATCAGTAACTGAGCATGCAATGCTCACAGTTGTGATGCTTAGCGTGTCACAATCGTCAATACTTAAGGTCAATAACTGCAGCAGCACCAGTAGCAAACAGTGGTGACAGTAGCAGCAGGAGCAGTAGCAGTACTCGTCCTCGGCGTTGCGGTCGGACGGGCAGGTGCTGGCGCGGTGTGCTTGTGATTCTGCTACTGCCAAGTGTGGGCTACAGCAGTACTAGTCCTTGTCAGGCTGCAGAGCTTGGAGACAAATCCAGGCAACAATCCCAAACGGAAAAACCACAACCTTGAACCCCAGGACTAGGACCCTTAGGAAGACCAGAAGCAATCCGTGTTGCTGTTTTCTGGGAAGCCCACTTCTAGCTCTTTGAGACGGACGAAGATGTTCGCCGGTTTGAGATCCTGCGGTTTCAAGCTCGATTGGGTTTGGTCTTGAACATGAGTCTGAGCTGTCCGAATTCGCAGCAACTATACCATTTACACCTCCAGCCTGACTGGCACCCTACCATCAAACTGCTTCTGTGTTTCCAGAGGCAGTGCGTAGGTTGCGTTTAACCACCCGGGACGTCGACAAAGATGATCCGGAAAAGTCTGAAGCGCAGAGCGTCCCGGTGAATCACGTGTCCGAGATGGAGATGAAGAAGGCCAAGCAGGATCTGCCAGGATACTCTGTCGAATATCCATCTATCCATTTGTCTTTTTCTCTCTCTCGCTCCCTCTCTCTCTCTCTCTCTCTCTCCCGGTCTTTCTTTCACCAGGGCTGTGGGCAGAGGTTGCCCTCTGCCCGCGCGTGTCAGCGCCCCCGTATGTTACGGGGTGAATAGTGGGATTACATGATCTCTCTGTCGCTCTCTGCCTCTCTCTCTCTCT